GGGGGGGGCTGAGCTGAGGTTGAAGGCAACACCGGATGACAAAAACTGAACTTGGAAGCAGATTTTACTTTTCAAAATTTTGATTACTACTATCTAGAGCTCTCTGCACAGCGCGCGTTGGTGCAGGCCTTGTGTGGAATCGGGATCTGTCTTACTCAAACCTTGTAAGCCGTGTTCTTGTAACTAAAGGGTTCCCGTTTCATTGATTGTATTTTCTATATAATTTAACTTTCTGTTCAAGATTTGCAGATTTTCAGTGTCACTGCTTCTTGCCCTCCCTCAGTTCTTACACCTCTCACACTGAATAGGTCTACTTGAGCCATTCATGTTATTGCTCTACTTTGAGTTAGAGCAATAATTTTTGTCTTTCACTTATATAAACCATGACACCCTAAATTGGTTCTTGACAGTGGGTATTCTGGTTCTAGGCCTTTTTGTCAGGATCAAAGCAAGATTCATTTTTATATAGTTAATATAGGCGAATATGATGAGGGGAAAATATAAATTAAGTAAGAACAGACTGAAATACCTGAGTCACAGTATCCCAGTGCCACACTGACATCATGTTGTTGACTGGATATAATGTACCTGCATGCGTGCGTGCCACGTGTGTGTGTATATTATATATAATATATAATATTATAAATGGAGCATGCACTATCATTGTTATGTAGCATGCCCCTGGAGAATGGATGAGTCCCGTCTGGAAAATTGAGAAGCCGGGTTGGCTGTCACCCTGGGAACAGTTTTTGTTGGAAAATCGAAACTATGATATGGTTCCTTTCGGACAAGTTCAGGCCTTTGATAATAGGCTTTCGTCATGAATTTTTGGACCAAATCTCCTTGAATTAAAAAAATTTCTCCTTGAAACCTCCTTGAAACCTCCTTGAATTTGATGGAAAGTTCATGGCAGGAACCCTGTAAATCTGTTGTTGTGTTAAAGCACAATTTTGTACTTGGCCAGTTTATCTGAAGGTGGTTTGTACTCGTGGTTTGTGGATATTATTGTCAGAATGAAGTATTGTTTGCTGTAGAAATTTTCATTGCTAATGCTAATGGCATCGTTTTGATTTGTGTTTGGTGACTATAGAGATGTGTATGGTGCTGGTGAGGATAAGACGGTTGATGGACTTGTGTGTGTTTGATGATTTTTGTAATGCAGTCAGATTCCAGTAGCAGTAAAATTTACAAAAAATTTTTCGCTTCAACCAATCAATTTTGCTTCATTTTGAGATGTTTGCTCCATTGTTTTTTGTTCCATTTCTCTCATTGCTGAAAGTCATGGTGTGCTGTCAAAAGGGCTTTCTGCTTTAGAATCAGAAGGGTAGGATTTTGTATTGTGAAAAGGCATTGGAAGTTACAAGAAATAGTTTCTTTGAAATTCTGTATGAAGAATGTAATATTTTGTGGGAATTACTATTGTTGGTCTGAGGGTAGAGAATCTAGTGCGATTTGTTGGCTGCAAAGAGCAGGCTCAGCAGTGGAAGTGGGTTGCCATCCTGTCTGTCCACCATGCTTTTTCCCAAAACTCATCATCATCATCATCATCATCATCATCATCATCATCATCATCAAATGCCAGATCAGAAACAGATATCGACATGCATGGTTGGCCTCTCTTTTCTCAGCTCTGATGTACTCAAAAAAACCTGTAATATCATATCATAGTCTGTCCTTGTTGATTATCTGTTCAAGTTCTATAAGTAAGTTGCTTTTGGTCTACCTCTTGGCTTCTACTATTTATGAGAGCGCTAAATGACTGTTTGAAGCTTTTTTTTACTGTAACTGTGTCAATTGTGTTCTGTTTTACTTTTCCCACCATAGGTCTGAGGGTGGAGAACTTTGTGCCATTTGTGGACTACAAAGAGCGTGCTCAGCAATGGAAGTGGATTGGCGTTGGTCGCGACGGGGACCCCGAACTGGCTGCTCTCTTCCGCCACTGGTTGCAGCATAAGGACGATATCTGCGTAGACGGTCTTGACCCTGTGCAAGGGTCGCCACCGCCTCCCAAAGCGTAAGTTTTGTTTTGTAGAAATACTGATTGGAATCAAATTGTTCAATTAGCATCTGTGGCATAGCAGTTAGGCTCTCGTCTAATGTACACAAAGGACTTGAATTTGGTGTCCACCTGGATAAGTTTATTTTATCGAGTGTCTTTGTCACTCTGCCGGGATGCAGTGTCCCATCTAGCCAGCACTGGCCCTGACAAGCAGGGCTGAAGCAGACTGGATCCTAAATTATGTAAATTGTTGTTTTGGTTGTTGATCATTTACAGTCAATCAAATGTATCTGAACTTGACTCAGTTTTCTGGTTCATTTTGTGTCTCTAAATGTCAATGTGGAGAAGTAGACTAGATTGTGAACACATCCTCCAGTAGTGCAGGAAATACAGAGCTCTGTAAGACATGTGATGTGTCCAATCCCATAAACACTACAGGAGAAGCTGTATGGTAGGGTTGGGTCGGGCTCACAAAATTAGCGTCCGCGGGTAACCAACTACCCGCTGGCATTACCCGCAAACGAGCGTTTGAGATAATTGGAACATACACAGTGTGCCCCACGCACGAGGTGAAAGGTTACACACACACATAGTACTACGTCACCAGCCTCTCTCACTCCCTGTGGCACCGCTAGTGGTTTGAAACATCAGGCCTAGGCCTAATTAACAAACAATAGACGACGGGTCTAATCTCGCATCGAGTATCTCGTCTGCTAGAGTTCGTCCGTTCTCCTGCCCGCCCAGTGAATAAAATTGTGGAGCGGACCCAAAAAACGAACTGACTTGAGGCTTGAGGTCCGCAGTCCGCTCGCTGAGAGAGTCAAATTGTGGAGCGGACCCAATAAACGAACTGTCTTAAGGTTCGCAGTTCGCTCTCATGGCCGTCCGTTACCCGTTCGCTCTGACGGAGTCCGCGAGTAACGAACCCGTCCGTCCGCTCGCCCCAACCCTACTGTATGGGCCAACAGAGGAACTGAGTTGGATGGCCCAATGTATGATAGATACTGGTCTTTCAGTGTGATGCGATTGAGAAGATGAGGACATTGCATTTTTAGCATGAGAATGTCTTGCGATCAAGTTCCTTTAGTTTTTTCCACTTTAAGTTTGACGTTTAAGAGATACTTTAAGACTGACTCTTTCTTTTAGCAGAAATTGTAGAATTAAGAATGTTGAGACTGGCACAAACTGTTACTGAGTTGGACTGTTTTTCTGATTTCTTCTCGTTCTGAGTATTTAGTGTTGATATCTGAGCTGTGTTACATCTCCATACTTTTAGATGTCTAGACCGTCAGTTACGATTTTGATTGTCTCTCATACCCTGTGATCCCTGGACCTTTGAACCTACATGATGCATGCATGTGAGCTACTGATTGTCAATATTACTGTTATTGGGCTAACTTGTTTGTGTTTTTGATTATATATAAAATGCAACTCTCAGCTCTACTCATTTGTGACTGGCCGAGTTCATAGCCACAGATGTTCCAGAACAATTTTCCATCCACAGCCCTGATCATGCATAGTAATAAAGATAATTGTATTTATACAGAGCATATCCACGCTGTACAACATGCTCTCTGCACTTTACAACTATTATTATCACACTCAACCCTAGAAAACAAATCAGAAACATTCTCAGCTTTCTGGGAAATGTACAATGCAAGCATCATTTCTTGAGTGTTGTGTTTGCGATTATGCTTTTCGTATTTTACTTTATTTCACATAATTTACCCCACAGCAAGACCAGTTTTATTGTCCGGCCCACATCAAGCGATGAAAAGGCATTGTTCCGGGAGCAGGTCAGTTTCCTTAAAGCATCTGTGTATGTTGTTCATCGATATAAGTAAATGTCTGGTATAATTTTGCCAGTCACTATTGATTTCTTTAGTCTCAGTTGAAATTTAAAAAGTAGCCTAGAGGTTAAGGTGTTGGCCTCTCATTCAAAGGGTCCGGGTTCGAATCCGGGTAGCGACCGAAAAATTTTCTTCTAAAAAATTGTCTCCTTTCACCTCCTTTCCTGCTCTCTAGCAATGTTCTGTTGTCTGCTTTTATTTCCACTTTCTGCCCCCACCCCCTCACCTTCTTTGCCCCTCCTCTGGGCTCCTGACTCTTTCTGCAGCCTTTCTACTGCTACTCCTTGGCTCCTCCTTACTGCTGTCTTTCTGCCACACCCCTGATCTTCTGGTAGGAAAGATCTAAACCTAGCCTTCTCGGACAAGGGCGAAAAATCTCGGAGGGCCCGTGTGCAAGTTGCGCACGTTAAAGATCCCTTGGTGGTCTAAAATCGATAAGAGTAGGCTTCAGCCGCCACCCGGGCAAAATTCAAAATTTCCTACCAACTAAAAATATTAGGTGTGTCCCGCGCGCTCATATGACCTATGCAGTTGCGAACACCGTAAATCACTTTACAAAAACAACAAACAAACAAAAAACCAAAAAAAAGTATTGTGTTAATCTTTTTATTAAAGTTTATCTCGGCAAGAGTTTAATGACTTCAGTCAAATGTCTTGGGCTCACTGAATGAGAGGTGGAAGGTGCTTAATAGACGAATGAATGCTCTGTTATATCCAATGACTTGTTTTTGAGTTTTTGTGAAGAAAAGAATTTTTTCGGGTTAGCGGCCATTCAGTGCAGGTAAAAAGCGAGACATATATATTCAGAAATAGAAGGCAAAAAAAGACAGGACCCAGCAGTGGCGTCCTCTAACCCAATGATTGAAAACATGAGAAAAATGTATTTTTCTTATTTATATGTCAAAGCTCTTTTATGCAAAACTCATTGAACGAGCTTACATTGTATTTTGTTGACCTGAGTAAGTCTTTGTCTTTCTGCAGGAGCGGCTCCGTTTTGCAGCACCCCACAAAGCTTTTACCTTCATGATGCATGGCTATGACTCGGTGGTCGGGCCGGTCAAAGGTGTCTATGATAAAGACAGCGGTACAAACAAGGCCCGTGAACACAACTTGCTTGTATCAGACCGACCCCCGTTTGTTACCATACTCACACTAGGTAAGTGCTCGTTTTGTTGATGGTTACAGTTATTTTTTGTGTTATGTTTTTATAGGGTGATAACACAAATAATTTATAGCTTACTTAAAAAAAAAAAAAATCTCTCGGGTTGTTTCGGCTTGTTTAAATCAAATTGTTTAAATACCCTGCCGAGAACTTTATGAAACTCTAGTTGTATAATATATAAATTTGTTCCTATATTATACCGCTTGTGAGCATGACAATGTTGTAGATGTCGGTTCGTTCTCCATTCTCTGTGAACTAAATTGTTTGATATTTGTTTGATTTCCATTTAAAGAAAAAGCATCAGTATCCAGGTTTTTTTAAAGAAGAGAACTGTTTGTGGAGTAAGTTGTGTGTTTGTCTGTTTGTTTTGTTTAGTTCGAGATGCTGCTGCCAGACTCCCAAATGGAGAGGGTACGCGAGGTGACATCTGTGAACTTCTAAAGGATTCCCAATTCTTGGCTCCAGGGGTCACAGAGACACAGGTGAGAAACTCGACTCAATAATGTTCTCTGCTGTACTGCCATTTTAATCGATGACCCAGTATCTAACAAAATTTTGTTTGTCTTTTATTTAGATATAAATGTAAAACCAATGTTTGTACATTTTTTTATGTAAAGATGTCCATTCTAAAGTAAGCTGACGTGGGCTTTTGTAGCTATATGGAGTCTTTAAATAAAGATAGTATGACCAAGATTCGCAAATTAGGTTTTTAAAAGTTCGGTCAGCATCTCTAGTATTACAACCCCTTGGTAGGTTCTGTGAGTTTTTCTGCGAATGATAATATACTTTTATGAAATATAGTTTATGGTAATATTTCATGTAGGACATAATTCAAGATGTGATTTTATTTACTCACAGTTTTAACTTTAAATCTTATTTATCTATTCTTTCAGATCAATGCTGTGGTGAGTGGTGCTTTGGATCGACTACACTCAGAGAAAGATCCTTGTGTGAAGTATGACGTGACTCGCAAACTCTGGATTTACCTTCATCGAAATAGAACTGAGGATGAATTTGGTGAGTGATTTTTGCTTTGAATGTTATTTACTTGCGGTAAATTTTCAATCCCCCTTGCCCAATCCTATCAAAATGACACCCGCTGATGAGTACAACGTTGTACATAAGTCAAAACAAGGTTATGATAAGGTTAGTTAGTTTTGTAGGTGACAGACTGTTCATTGTTACTTTTTATAATTGCAGTTCACTTTGTCTAAGGAGACAGTCCGAGATTTTTCGTGTGAAGCGTAGGTTTAGGATGGTTATCAGAATGGAATTGAAAACATCACAATGATAGCATATGTGTCACGGCATGGTATTGAAAACATCACAATGATATCATATGTGTCGCGGCATGATGGAATCAGGCACTCATCTATTTGTGGGCACATTGAGTTATTAGTATATTCTTAAAGCCTGTTTATTTGTCTTGCTTTTGATGAAAGCCATCAGTAGCAGAAAATAATAAAAGATACATGACTTTGTCAGTTAATGAAACATGGGTTATGTGGCTTAATGAATGAATACTTGTATAATTGGTGAGGTTGGGTCCACCTGCTGCTGTGAATTTGAAACAATATCCTAATTGTCTATGTGCTTTGCATTTCTGTGGTAAAAATACTACGGACGTGTTGAAGTTTGTTGCTGTATAATTTTTGTTTTGTCGCGTGTGATAAAATGTTTCACATGTTAAGTTTGTTTTTCCAGTAATTAAAAAAAAAAAATCTGTCCTTCCCAGAGCGTATCCACCAAGCCCAGGCTGCTGCTGTGAAAGCCAAAAAAACAGTACACAGACCAAAGGCTGCAAAAGCTGTAAGCATTATATTGGTGATTAGGAACTGAGGTTCTGGATGATACATCTATGAGTTTTATTTACCCTCCGACCACCCCTTAGCTCAGTGCTTGCCAACCTGGGCGATATTGTAATTTTGGTGGGTTGTGAGGATCACTTAAGTCGTGACAGGTATTATTGAATGTCCCGCTTGGAAATACCTGTTGGTGGGCGGTATAAAAATCTTAGCCTCTGAAAGGTGGCAAAAGTGGGCGCTGGCTATAAAAAGGTTGACAAGCTCAGGCATACCTGAATCAGTTCAATTCTAGGTACCTCCCAATTTGTCACTGTCACTAGATAATAGAAAAATATATACTTTCTCCATTTGACCCCACTTTACATGAAGAGTTAAAAAAGACCAAACCCTCTTTTGTTTTTCTTGCTACAGCCACAGAATAGAATGGTATATTGTCATTATTGCTTTAGCAATGCATAGGCTTTGGCCCTTCAAAGAAATGTAGAATAGAATGAAATTTGACCCAGGATCACTATAAAATCTTCTGAAATTCACAGACGAAAGAACAAGCAGCTCCTCCCCCTGTCACAACAGCTCCCAGCACCGCTGTCACTCAGGCCATGGCCACCCCACCCAGCAAACCGACCTTCACCTTGTCCACCTTGCCGTCATCTGCTTCTGGAAAGTCGACCACGCAAGCAGAACCTGCCTCATTGTTGGGGAAAAGTATCAAGACATCCACTAGTCTTGCCAGATCAATATCTTTGGGTAAGTTTTGTTGTTGCTCTTCAGTCACGGGTGTCCTGAGGGTTTTTTCTCAACTTAAGATTTCTAAAAAGTTGGTTTTAATATGAGTGAACAGGCAGGTTGATGCAATAAGAATCATGTAGTGCTGGGTAAAAAGCAAGACAGACAGACAGAATCAAAAGAGGTATAGGTAAGAAATAAAACCTACTCATTCTGTCCTTCAACAACCTATTTACAAACTTTCTTGTTCTATAATAGATATTTAATTAGTACATTGTATGAAATATGTCTTTCTAATTGTTTATTCTGTAATAAGTATTTTATCATTGTATATAAAATATATGTGTCACGACATGGTGGAATCAGGCACTCGTCAATTTTGGAGCATGTGGAGTTATTGGTATCATCTGAAAGCCTGTCCATTTGCCTTGCGTTTGATGGAAAAAAAGTCCATTTCTCTTTTGTCCAAGTCAAGATATTGGCAATTGAATTAGGAGGAGGTCACCTGGTTTCAGAGGTAGAATTTGGGAGAAAATGGCCACCAAAGTTTCGTTATTTCCTTAGCTCGATAGTCCACGGAAACTAAAAATTTACATCTTTCACGCCTATAAGCCAGTAAAATCTACCCAGAAAAATGTGTTCTTTAGTGGGCTTGAAAGGTGTTGAGCCAAAATAAAGACTTCAATAAAAATTCCACAACCTGCAGGAAAATGCCAGGTTCTGACGAGCGCCTAATAAAACCACGCTGCCTCACATATAGTATTATAATAATTATCAGTTTTTATCTTAATTTCACCTCATGAACCCTGTGTTCCTCTCTTTATGTGGAACACGGAAGTTTTGAGGTATTGCAGTCTTTCCTGTTCAGAGACATGGAGGCTCACAGCATCAGCAGCAAAGAAACTGCAGAGCTTCGTAAATGGATGCCTACGAAGGATAGTGGGGATCAAGTGGTACGATCGAGTCATTAATGCTCAACTGTGGGAGAGAACAAGCCAAAGGCCGGTAAAGGAAGATATTCATGTGAAGAAATGGAAATAGATTGGACACATTCTGAGGAGATGCCCGACAAGCATCATCAGGCAGGCTTTAACGTGGAACCCACAAGGAAAGCGTAAGAAGGGAAGACCAAAGATGACATGGAGGCGAGCGGTACAAGTGGAAATTGAAAAAGCGGGGACATAATGGACACAGATAGAAAAGGATGCTCAGGACAGGCTTCGCTGGAGTAATGTTGTTGATGGCCTGTGCTCCACTGGGAGTTAAAAAGGGCAAGAGAGAGAGAGTCTTTCCTGCCTCAAGCTACTTTACTGGAGATTTGGCTCTCCTGGCATTTTCTCTGTGTGAAGTGATGAATTTTTACACTTCCATCTCTTGTCCTCCTTTGTCAAAGATTTTAATGACTCTACTTTGCCCTCTTTAAATTTAGTTTGGGGGTCACAGGTTTTCCTCCTTTCAAGTCACTGAGGCGGAAGAGAGATGAATTTGTCAGTAAAAATGATTAATACTGACAATCTTTGGAAAGGTTATCGAGCATAAATGTATAGGCCTGCTTCGATAGTTCAAATTTGCCTTCAAATTTTCATGAAAGCAAAAATACTGAGAAACAACTATTAGAATGAGTGGGAATAGCTATCAAATCGAATGTGCTCTTCTTTTACAAGTAAAAAATGCTAATTTTAAAGATATAACCTTAGGCTAAGAATAGAAACGATGAATTAGAGTTGTAAAACTGGTCTCATCATATTTCCCCTCACAGGTTCAACGGGTGCTGTCTCAGGGTCTCCCTCCCCCGGCGTGACGCTCCCGCCCACGGTCGCCCAACTCCGAGCAGCTCAGGCAGCGCTAGCCAAGTCGTCGTCCACTGTCAGCAAACTGCCCACAGTCAAGCAGCTGACAAGCGGTCAAGGAATCACCACTGCATCGTCTGCAGTGGCCTCCACAACGTCTTCAGTGTTGACGGTGACGTCAGTTGGACTGGGTGTGACGTCGTCACTGGCGGCACAGCTGCTGTACTCGTCTGGCTTGACCCCTGGACCGGGGGTCGGCGTGACTCGGCTGGCCAAACCTGGTTCTGCTCCCATCTCCACTGCCACGACGTTCAGTTTGGTCACCACGATGAATGTGGCTCCGAATGCCGCCGCGGGTGGGCAAACCCGTCAACCAGGCGTGCCCACCTTCAGCATGTTGCACAGCCAGCAGTTGCTGAAGCAACAACAGCAGCAGCAGGCGGTGGGTGGTGCGCACAGTGTCCTCAAGCAGAATGCTGCGCTGGTTGCTGCGGTTGGACAAACTGTTGCTGCGGCTTCCGCAAATCCAGCCTCGGCCACCAATCCAGGATCATCAAAGGGAAGCTCTGGCCTGTCGTCCAAACAGACGTTTTCTATGACAGCCCGCCAGGCCCCGCCCCCTAACGTGGTGGTCACCAAAAACCAAGCGGCAGTGGTGTCCTCAAAAGCCCTGCCCGGCCTGAAGCAAGCGTCTCTCATACTGTCACAAGACGGCATGGCTAGCCTGACCCCTGCCACTTCCTCCACTGGTGCCAGCAATGTTCCGGGCAAGCTGGTGGCCTTGACCTCTGTTCCGGGATCAGGACCTGGGGAGGGAACTGTGATGGCTCAGATTGTACAGCATGCTGCTGCTGCTCAGATGGGAAATACGAGAGGGGCAGCACAGACGATAAAGCTTCAGGGTAAGGCTGGCTGCTTCTTAATTGTGCATGTTGAGCACTTCTTTGGAGCTGTTTTCTTTGTAATTGTATGGGTTAATCCTTCTTTTTCTCTGAAAGAAAGTCTGAAAATGCCTTAGAACTGGAAAACCAGACAAGTAAAGACCATAAATCTAGATATTTTCAGAAGGAAGAATAGAAATGGGAAATAGGACTCATCTGTGAAGACATTGAAATGTTTGGCAGTATTAAAAATGGGATAGACGAACTGAAATAGCTATTCAAATTACGGCTGATTAAATCAGCCATGACACTGCAGAATGAAACTTACGGCGAATTTCATCAGCCTCAGGACTGGGAGGGTTAAAGAGAAGAAATGAAATTCTTGGAATTTTCATTCTCCTGATTTCAGATATTGCCTTTTGCTTTCCCCGCTGTTAATGACAATTTTAGACACTGTGTGGGGAAATTATTAATGTAAAACCCCTAAGACTTACAAGCTGAGGTTTTGGTGTCGTCACTATTTTCCACGTACTTTGCCAATAGGTGGCAGCCTTGTCCAGCCTGTACTGGGTGGAAAACCCATCCAGATTGGAGGCAAGCCCTTCGCTCAGGCCAAAGGTCTGGTCCAGTTGGCGGGGAAAGGCGGTCAGCCGCTGGGTCTGATCCGGACGCCCCAGGGTCCCCTGTCGGCCATCAACCTGATCCCTCAGCCCCTGGTCTCCTCCACCACGGTCAGCGCTGTGTCAGCTGCCGGAAAAGCTGCTACAGTTGTTGGTGAGTGTTTGTCTTTTTTCATGTTGTCTTATTTCACACTATTAATGAGTGGTTTTTATTTTTTCTTGTTGTTGGTTAAGAATTTTCATATTTCATGTTCTTGGTAAGGGTTTTTGTTATTTCATGTTGTTTTTAAACCTTACACTGCCACTTATTTTAACCCTATATGCACCCAGTTTGCCGCCGATTTTTTGCGGGAACTACAAAAAACGATGCACATCATTAAAAAGATCATAGCACCCAAACCGTAAAAGATAACCACTTGAAATTTTCAAAAACGACTCATTATTTTTTTGTGGCGTATAAAAAACTGGGTAATCTATTTCAGCATCTTGCAGTTACTCCCATTTTAATTCATCAGCTTGCTTGGTACGAGTGCCACACCCACCTGTGCCATCCCCCCCTTTCAATCACTTCACCACTATCTCTGGGTCTAGTTCTAGCTCCATCAACAATAGGCCTAACCTCATTGTCACTGTCAGTATCATAGCAGTAACTGTTAGACTCTCGTTCAAGCCTATTACCTGGCAGAAAACTTTCCCAGGGATTATCAGAAACCTTGAATGACTCATCAGAGTCGGAGTCATTACGATAAGTTGCAGTGCTACATTTTGGTTCCTTGTTTTTCCAACAAAAATGTTGAAAAATTGGCCACCATCAACTGCACTCAGGTGGAAGCATGTTCTGAACAATAGGAAATCACTTTTGAAAACCAGCAGTTTCGTACATGCGGTAGATCGGCAGTTTCGTTGAGCGAGTATTAATTTCGACTTAAGTCGAAAGGGGCGAACCAGCGCTGGTGCGGTGATTTCAACTTAAGTCGAAAATGGCAATATAAGGATTAAATGTAGATTTCTTCCAAAATTTAATCAAAGAAGTTGTCATTTCCATATTTTTTTAAAAATGTAGACCCAATTTTGACAGTGGGCAATATGCAGCTAAATGCTGATTTGAAGATGGAATTGGAATAATAATTAAGTATGCCACCCTTTTAAAAAGTATTAAAAAACCCCAGCAAAAATGAAGTTTGAATGCCCGACATTGACACGTACTGGTTGCTTCAAAAGCTGAAACTGTGACTCTATTTTCCCTCTTTTCTGACCAAGTACATATATAAGGAATAGACGCAACCAGTGAAGCTTTGGATTTTAAGGAATTTTTGGCATATATGCGCTCACACCTTACTACTGCGTGTCTCTATTTCAGCTGTGGGCAACCCAGCAGCTGGAGTGGTCCTGACTCCGTCCGCCTCCACCGTTGGGCAGACAGCCTCTGGATCAGTGGCCATAGCAACAGCCACCAGCAACAGCACCCCTTCGACAGCGACGCTAGTGGCAACCTCCAAAGGCGCCACACCGACCAGAGTGTTGAGCCAGTCGCACGCGGGTATCGTGGTCACGCAGCTGGCTCAGGGTAACATCGCCCTCAGATCTGGTAGGTAGTTTTTGGGAGGCTTTTAAAAAATAATTTTATGGTCCTGTGACCTATTTTTCTGGGTACTAGATGTTTGTTAAGTAAAGTACATGTTTCTCCTTCATTTTGAATAAGGTTGTTTGATAATGCTATAATGGAAAATTACTTGAAAGTTGCTATTTTGCTGTTTGACATTGCTAATGTGAAAAACCACTTGAAAGTTGCTATGTCACTGTAATCGCCGTACCTGAAGATAGATGACAACGTCTGCAGAGAATGATCATAATAAGTGAATTTTGGGAGGTTTGACTCTTTCTGATATTTTCTCTTATGCATCATTATGAAACATCTTATAGTGAATGTTTCGTTGCTGTGGACACTGTGGTGTTTGTTTTTTCATTTCCACAGCTAAGGTTCCGATAAAACCTGAATTAGGGCGAAATGTTTAACATTAAATAAAACAAAAAAAATAACTTAAACTGCCTGAATAGTAGTACATTCATGTTTCCTTTATAATTTTTTTTCCTGGACAACAATAATAATTATTATAATGATAAAGATTAAGTGAATAATTTTTTAAAATCCTTTCTTCTGTTGCTGGTCATCACAGCGGTGATTGGTTTGGCAGAAACCACTTTAGTGTGGGCTTTGGAGCAATGTGATAGGTCAGTTTGACTAGGACCTATGTCAGATTTAGGATCATACATAGTTATCATTCTGCATCAAGTGGGTGGTTGGCGAGTGCTCCATTGTAGTTGCTCCTTTTTTCCTATCGGACATCTATTTTCCTTATCTTTTCTCCTTTTTTCCTTTGTATGTTACCCTCTAGTTACACCCCTAATCTTTGGCACTTATATAACCTATTTGTCTTGCTAGTGACGTGAAACTCCTATTGAAACTTTAAAAAAAAAAAGAGTAAAACTGTTCTGCTCCAACTCAAGAGTCAGTCAAATTGATAATGTGGAGGATTTTTAGAACTGAATGCCTTGAGTTCTGGTCAATGGAATAAACTAAACAAAAAACGAAATGAACTACAACAACAAAAAAGACAATAGACTAATGAACTTTTCCTTCTGTTTTCCCCATCACTCAGCTGCCCCAGGAGGCTCCCAAGCCAAAGTGATCCCGGCAGGCCAGGCGGGCCTCCTGCCCACACAGTTTATCCTACAGCACGCTCCGGCCGCCACACCCTCCTCACAGGCCTCTGCTGGTCAAGGTAATACCCAGTGCACACGGAACAGGGTTTAAGTCAAATCCCTGTTTGATATACAGTCTAGCAAGCACATTGCAAAATTGGCTGAAGGCGGAAATGTTTTTCATTGCTTATAGATTTTCTCACATAGATCTACATGTTTTAAATACAAAGAATATACAAAAATTTGGGACCTGAAAAATCGGACATTTCGCTGTAAGTGTTTTGAATACAAAGAATATACATGTATAAGAAAATATTTGGTACCCGAAAATCTATTCACTGTTTGAACGTTTTACTGTGTGAATGCTAAACTGTAGTTTGATACGTTTGAAGGCGGCCTTATTTTCATTCATTGTGGGATAAAAGCTCCTATTATGGCAAAGTTTGATCCAATCTTTGAAAATCAAAGATATATGTTGTATTCCAGGACATTATTGGGTCTATTTGATGAATATCAGGTCCAACAGCTAATCAGAAAGCCTCCATTTTTGTTTGCACAAGGAATATGAATCCCTAATGGACTTGCTGATTAAATTTGATGAAGGAAAGCAAAGGTGTATTTGATGTAGTGTGAACTGACCAATGTCCTTAACGGCCTGATCTGATTGGATCGTGCTTTTGACCAATGGTCTTCTGTTCGAAGGCTGGACTGACATATGTGTTATCATGAAACGGGTGAATGATGTGTTGTGGGCCCATGTAAATAGTTTTTAAAATTAATTAGTTACTACTGCTTTATGCTATTGTTACTTCCTTGAAGGTGTGTACATGTCTGCTAAGAAACACAGTTGTACTTGGTTCACAGACCTTACAGAATTATGAACATGTAACTAACACTTGTTTTTTTTTCTTCTGATTATCTCCACAGCTCCACTCATAGTGAGTAATGCCTCAGGTGCTAAAGGAGCTCAGAATCTCCAGGTAGGAATTATTGAATGTTCCCAGTGCAATTTTATGTCCATAAGAGAATTAAGTTTACTCCTGGGTGAGTCCTTGGGGTTTGATCCTGTTAACTAGAATATGTACAAAATATATAATTTTTTGTAACCATGCTGATGTGCTATGGAAAAAGCTTTATATCCCGGTTTGCTTCTTACTTTTTTAGACTATCCCCAGGTGCCTTCTTTGTGTCTTATCCTTCTATTTCCCAGCACAACATAGCCATAATTGCTTTGATGTGCATCTCCTTTCACCCTTCCACTCCCCAGGTGATGCGGACTGTCCTGTCCCAGCAGGGGGCTCTCAAGCCCGGCCAGGCCACCATCCTCATCTCCCAGCCCGCCCTACCTCAGGCCGTGTCCACGGCAGGCGGGCTCACTGCTGCTCAGGTGGGTTGTATGGTAACTCTCTCTGTGTCATGGTGATCTATCGTCGATATGGTATTCCATTCTTTGTTCCCTTTCTTTTCCGTGCTTGTGAAGCTTTTGTATCTGTTTGTGTAAACTCCTATCGAATATTTATAGAGGAGACAAGGTTGATTTCGACTTCTCCCAATGCCACATTCAACCTACAACATACTTGCCAGACTCAAACATTCGAAGAAGGCATCAGGGATGGAGTTTTATGGTGCTTTTCATTGTAATTACATAATTGTCCATGTGTGACATTACCGAACAGAGGGAAAGTAGAAAATTGCAGCAGGTGGTCGGTAATAAGTCCTACTTCTTTCTTTTCCCTCTGTTGATTCTGTCTGCCTATCTTGCTTTTTCTTTGAACTAACAGGGAGGTATTGTGTCAGTGTGCTTCTCTTCACTTTAATATGCAAAATTATGAAGCCTTAAATTTCAACACTGTGGGTGGTTGGCGGGTGCTTTGGTGTTGTTTGCTTCTTCTTTCTTATCAAACATCTATCGTCCTTATCTCTCCTCCTTCTTTTTTATGTTTGTTACTCTCTTGTAACACCTCTAATCTTCAGCACTTACATGATGTTATTGTGTTGCAATGGCCGTAAAACTTTTACTAAAAAAATTTTTTTTTTAAAAACTTCAACACTGTCATCTGTTTAGAAGGAATAGTGCCTGCTCCTACTTTATTTTCTAGGGTAAAAAGCTGTAGATCTAGTATTGTTAAGTGATTTAAGGGGCATGTTTGACTTGGCTTGAAGGGCTTGCAATTAGTGTCAAAGTGCATGTATGTTGAAGGAGATGGAAATCTCATTAAGAATTTTATCTACCATGCACGTCAGAATCAAATGCTACCATTTCCATCTTTTTCTTTTAGTCTTTGTTTAGAATTTGTAACCTGTTAGTGTTTTATTTCAGGCTGTTCGGTTGGCAGTGTTGTTGTTGGTTCTTAACTGAATCGGCAAGACTATTAAACTGCCCCATTTTGTCACCTTTAAGTTTTAAGTGCAAAATAATTTGCAATCGTATCTATATGATGTAATATATGATCTCGTTCTACGTGTTGTTTTCAGGTTGTACAGACAGGTGCTAAGACCTCAGGGCGGGGATCTCCAAAGGGCAAAGGTCAGCCAGTGTATGCCAGGATCATCACTCCGCCTCCAGGCATGAAACTGACCGGCATGGCTCAGGTCCCAGGCTCAGGTGTGTAGTGGCAATGTGGTTTGCATCAGTCCGTGTTGGTCAGTTTTTGTATTTTTTATTTTAATTATAAATATTTTTTTTAAATGTGTATAAAAGAAATTTGGTCACAGGAACCTTCATGGGACCAGAGAATTTGTTTGTGTTAAGCAAAGTGCTAATGAAAAGAATAAAGAAGAGGAGGCAATTCCTTTCTGTTTGTTACAAACAAAACTGCCAGGAACACATGCAAGGCCTTGTATAACCTATTTTTAGTAATTAATAACACATACAGAATTGCCAACTTTTGGACTTTGAAAAAAGGTGAATCCTTATTTTCAACCTTAGATGGATGCATTAATGGCACAGAATGAGGTTCAAGGGAGGTTGTTGCTATTTACTTGATGGTTTCCACGTTTTACTCATTTTAAAAACAAAAAGCAAATGACAAAAGATGGAATAAATAAATCGTAGTTGCACATTATATAAAAAGTTTATCTGAAAATTTTAAAACAGGATTTCCTCATTAAATTAGGGACAGTTGGGACGGTAGCAGCTTCTGAGTATCTGGTCTTGATTTTCTTTCTCACTCACTTCCCGTATGCAGCAATTGGTGACATCGTGGCTTCTTTGCTTTGTGGGACATTATCTTAGGATATTGAGTGCATCTTGGGTGACATGTATTGACAGTGGTAGGCTACATGGGTGGGGCAGGGGAAAAAAAGCAGGGTGTAATCTATTACTGTTCTGGATCTCTCATGGTCTAAGAAGTATGGCGTTTGCCTCTCCAACATTTTTTGGAAATGACACGTGTCAGGAACGAAACATTTTTTTCCGTAACTCACTGACTACGGTTCCCGTCACAGGTACGGGGCGGGCAGCCGGTTCCCAGGTACGGATCCTGTACCCCCGACGAGGATGGACTTTGCGATTTTGTTCTGTATCTTGTGCTCCCGTCACATGTACGGGAACGGACTCCAGTGCTAGTTTTGCCACTTGCTTCATTTCGTGCTGAGTTTGGTGGAAGTTTTGTGGTGTCACCTCATCTGGGGTTGACCTGACCAGAACTCGCGCTATGTTTTTTCTATACAGCTGATAGTAATCCGACAGTCGCGTCGAAGTAACGGTCGCATGAACAAGAATCAAATAATTTCGCTGTATTCGATACTTCTGTTCGTTTTGCTAGTTCTAGTGACTCAGGATATGATGTGTCTGATAGTTAAGCCCCTGGATATGTACCCAAACACGGCCCGAGTCGTAGTTTTAGGGCTAGATCTAGCACTAGTACTGGTGTTGTTGTTCGTGCGACAAAATCACAACTTCGTTCCCTACATCTGTCTCATGTAATTCAGTGTATGGGTCTGAATAAACGCACAGAGCTGCTTTTATATTTTCACCAAACACTCACACATGGATGCAAATCAAAACAGAACACTTTGAACTTTAATTTTTGTTGTTGTTGTGAACTTCATACTATCTGTCATGTCTCTAGAAATTTTTCGAAAAATCAAATTCATGCCAATTTTGAAACAATCATAAGAATTAAAGTATTAGACCTAGACAACTTATTTTTTTTTGTATTAGATTAAGTTTGTATGTAAATTTACTGTGCCAAAAAATAATTACAATAGGGTAGTTCTGAGAGTTGTGGTTATGTTTTAAAATACCCCCAAAAATGCCTGTACTCAGTGCTAGTGACTGGTGAAAGGGCTAGTAGTCAGTGAGTTAAAATGTTTGTTGTTGTCCTCCTTTCTTGTTCTCTAGTCCGAATCTGTTATTTGCTTTCCTCTCCACTTTGTCATCTCAACCCCTCTGTTCCTCTCTCCTTTACTGTTGACTCTTTTTACGGCAGAGTTTTGTTAGTTTTGCATTACGAGCCTTCAGGTTCAATTCTTGACTCACCACCAGATAGTTATTGTTGTACACAAAAACTGGTGTTGAATATTAAAAAAACCCAAAAGCAACCCTTCCAATGAGAGTTCAAATGGTTTGTAAAAGAACTCTAAATAGTCTAGGGTGGTGGGGTTTAATTTTTGACTCAATAGTTTTAAGAAATAGTACTGATGTTCTTGCAGAGGTTCTAGATTTCTGGCTGCCTCTCAGATATTTACTGTGGGTGGTTGGTGGGTGGCTCCTTCTTTCCTATCAAACATCTGTCTTCCTTATCTCCCCTCGTTCTTTTTTGTGTATGTTACTCTCTTGTAACACATCTATTCTTCGGCACTTACATGACCTTATTGTGTTTCAAGTGCCATAATACTCTTACTAAAACTAAAGATATTTACTGGTTTTGAGCTATTCTGTAGAACCTTAATTTCAAAATGTGCAAAAATGTTTCCTTGGAATTTTCGTAGACCTCACCTTTTAACTCACTGGAGACTTTTCACACAGCATTTGCAAGCACTAATATTTTTCCTAGAGGCGGTTCACGCACCCCCTGCGAGCACAAGTTTCGTGTTTTCTCCTGGGTAAAGTATGCGCGCAAATGCTGCGTGAACCGTTTCTTACCGTGCAGCAGACTTTTGTTTCGTTTCTTGCGGTTTCACCGGAATTGGCTGGAAACTTTTCGAGTTATATACCCGGAAGGAAAGTTAGTCACACTGAGGCCCTACTTTCATTTCTCTGACATGTCTGTTCTCGCAACACTTTGTCAGTACGATGGTGGCACGCTTAGTTTTAGTAAGAGTTTTACGGCACTTGCAACACAATAAAGTCGTATAAGTGCCGAAGATTAGTTTTGCAAGAGAGTAACAAACACAAAAAAGAAGGAGGATAGATCAGGGAGAGAGCTGTTTGATGGGAAAGAAGGAGCACACCATACCAGAGCACCTTCCAACCACCCACTTGGCGACACGAAAAAACCAAACATTTTTCAAGTTTTTGATGACTTTGACAGTTTAGAAAATTCTGATATGATATTTTAGACCATGGGGATCCTGATTTCAATGTAAATGAGCAATGAGCATCAAAGGACTGATTCTGATAGATAATGTTTTTCATCTAGACCAGGCTTTGAAATGCAAAATTCCACTTTGACTGGAGCCCTGTTTTTTTTTCACACTGAAGTGGATTAGATAGCTTATACATAAGGATTACCATGATGACCTGCCTGTTCATGAGTTTTGACTTGTTATTCCTTTTGAAATACAAAACGCAGTAAAAGACACACACAAGGTTAATTTTTTTTTTTTGGGGGGGGGGTTGTTGTTGTTTTTTTTACACAAGACTACGTCAAAAAAATTTTTGGCAAGCAACAAATTTTAGCAAATTTTCAAAAATTATTTCTTTAAAAACTATAAAAGATATTGCCTTTCTGTTTTTTGTGTCCTTTTGGGCATGTTTAGATCTGTTATGTGTTTACTAAGGGTGGTTGTATGTCTTTGGGAAGGGTGTTGTTTGAAATATTGAAATACCCCAAAAATGCCAGTCTTCGGCGCGCATAGACCCGAAAAAGGCCCAGTTTCCAGTGAGCTATTCCTTCAGAATCTTGAGGACCAGTAAATATGTCACTGGCAGGAGTTACATTTTCTTCTGGAAGAGGGGGGGGGGGGGGGGAACACCTGTTATGGTACTGAATGGGTTAAATGTGTTTGCCTGTTATACCTCCAAGCAAAAAAGCTTTACCTCAGGGTTCATATACGAAGATATGTCTGAAAATTCGCTTCTCCTCTTACGAACCACATTGTGTTTATTTTGATTGGGTAACTCCTCCTCCTCCTCCCCCCCCCCCCCTCATGTTATACTGTATACTGTACAACCTGCTCAAATTTTCCTTTCTGTGTATGTGTGTGTGTGCAGGTACTGCGGTGAGCGGCGTCAACGTGATACAGACGATGGGCAAGCTACTGGGCACCTCCCCCGGCTTGGCCACCCACAGTCTGCCCTCGCTGCCCATGGTCAGTCTGGCTGTCCCATCGGGGGTCATCAACCCTGGGTCCACGGCCTCAGGGTCAGTGCAAGGTAGCAAGGTGGAGGTCGCCGCCGTTGTCTCTGAGGGAGTGAAGCCGGACGGATCTAGAGACAGCTGATACTGAGATAGGGGTTTCTGTAGTTTACAAGATCACTGATGTAGTAGGCGAGATCGTTGTTGTGATGGGCATTTTGCCTGTCTCAGAGGTCAGCAATCTTCAGATTGGCTCTTTTTTTTTCTTCCAAATTTGTTTTATCTTGTGTCTTTTTCAAAGACCAGAGCAGTTTAAGGACACTTAACCCTTTTAGTCTCTCAACCCCCCACCCCCTCCCCCAACACTACTTATAGGAATCTTAAGTCTGAGAGCCCTCTAGGTCGACGGCTAGATTAGCACCACCACTGCCCACTGAGGCATATGCTGTGCTTGGTGTGAGAGGATTGAAGAAGAGTGTACTCGGCTTCAAAGGTCTTTTTTTCACAAAACCCTTGTGGCATTCCAGAGAATGGTGTTTAGATTGTACCTACTGGTATTTCAAAAGGACTTTATGCGTACACTGGATGGATAACTTCAACTATTTGTACGTTTTGTAGTCTCACGGGTCAACACGTGTGCTTCAGTTTTTAGTGCAAGTATGGTTTAGTATGGGGATGTATTCTTGTATGCCTTGATGGAGTTGTCAGTTTCCCCACTTGTGCGTTTGAGTATGCGGAGTATGGAAGGATAAAGTGAACCTTAACTACAATTAAGAATGATGAAATGCATTGTTGATGCGTTTGTAGTATTTTGCTTATACAGTCCAGCACACACTTAGCAAAAGCCAGGGGTGCTAAAATCTTTTAATCATGTACGATTTTCAGACAATATAAGAATAATTATTTGCCAGGAAAAAAAATAGTTCAGGATCTAAAAGTCTGTTTGCTATATATGTATTTTATGTCATACGTGTGTTCGCTATGTGCATGCTAGAATGTATTGTCATCTGAGAATTGATCAGATGTAGAAGAAATCAGTGTTGTCCCCACCCCCTTCAAGATATAAACATTGGAACAAAAACGGAGATGAAGAAGTCAGCTTTACTACTGTTGTTTTATCTTGATTCTCAGTGCATTGTAGTTTCTTTAATAGAAAAAAAAAAGCAAACAAAAATACTGACAGTAACAGGTTTTTAGATATTTTGTTGTTGTTGCCAATATACTTCTGCAATGCTTTGATGAAATCATTTGTAACGAATGACCCCAATGTTGCAGGAGTTCAGGTACTTCTGTTTGTGTTATGTAATTTAAAAGGCACTACACCCTTACATACCTGGAGGAATGTTTTTTTTACAAATTGTAAAACTTTGTAAATATTATGCATATCATATGCAAATGTATCATTGACATGTTTTTTGTGTTACCATGGTGATTTTATTGACAGAATTGTTGCCTTTGTTTCATTATGTATTTTAAAGAGGAAATAAAATGAAAAAAAAGGCTTTGCAAGTTTTACGTGTTTGCATTTGTTGAAATTTTTTGTTCTTCCCATCAATTAAACATTTATAAGGGACCCCACTTATAACAGCCTCGGTTATAACAGGGTTCTGGCTTTAGCAGGCTTATAATAAATCCCTGTGTCCAGTCTCTTATAATGTTGTATAGTAAAAAAAAAAAAAATTTTTATAGCAGGCATTCGGGATGGATATGCTTGGCTATAACAGTGGTCCAACCATTGACAAAATCCCTTTGAAAACAGACGGATAAGAGGCTAACCCCCACCCCCCCCCCCCCAAAAAAAAAAAGCAAAAAAACATCCAGCTAGGCGAATTGCACCTAGTACCTGTGTGATCCACAATAGATCACAAGAGTCGATAGTGTAATCTACTCAATTTACGATGGGTCATCCCTTGAGTGCTAGGGAGGAACGGGGGGAGGGGGGGGGATTTGAATGCACTTTGGTATTGATGCAAAGCCAAACTTAAATAATGTGGCCTTGGTCTTGCTTCACATCGTCGTCTCCCCTTTGGGTGGTACAGTGGAACTCGGATTCAACGAGATCGCTGGGCCTCACCTAAAATCTCGTTGAATCCGAGTGCTCGTGATAGTAATTATGAGGTTTTGTGTAGTTATTTACTGGCACTGAGCAAGTAATGTGTAAAGAGAAGTACCGTAACAAGTGGTGCCTGATATGCCAGCATTATTAATAATTATGAGCTGCGCAAAAAAAAAAAGACTGATTCGTTCAAATGCACGCCTGTGTCATCTCGATTGCTTGCCAAAAAGTTGTGTTTCTGTGTAGAGCCTTGCCTAGCGCACGGCAACTGTAGATTCCACAGATCAGCGCACAATTCATTACGTAGATCTACGTCAAGACTAGCTTATCATTGTAATAACGATCAGTTGCGGGGGGGGGGGGGGGGGGGGGGAGACTGACCCGTTTGTGTCCCCCGACACGCACACATTGTCCACACTTGAGCAGAGTGCAGACAGCACATCCGACCCCGACACACACGTTCCAACAACACGTGTATTGGTATAAAAGAAGGCCTCTGATTGGTCACATGCAATCGACTAAGTGAATAATGGCTCACGATGCATGTGCAATGGATGGTTTCCGGGAATAGATAAAGTTCGTTGTGGGACTGGGAAGACCCCTGGAAGCGACCTCGGTGAATCCGAGCTTGCTGATTTAAGTGCTCGTTGAATCGGGTTATTTTAAAAATTGATTTTAAAGAAGAAAAAAAACAAACGGGAAATCCTTCTCTCTCGTTGAATCCGAGTTCCACTGTATAATTTGTAACAGGAATAATGACGTGATTGTTTGAAAAAGCAGGCACTGGGCGCTAGATATTACTAATAGTAATATCCTCCTTTCTTTTTTCTAACTGTGGCAAAGATCGTACACTCTTTGAATGAGGTTATTCAATGACAGATAGTTGCAAAGCGCACCAGAACGCGCTATAGACTCTAGAGCATATTATATGGGCTTCATATAAATGAGATTATCTTTGATACACGACATGCATCTCAAATTATGTCTGGTCATCCCCAATTAGACTAAGAATAAAGTGTTCTGGAAAAAAGAAGGTGGATAAAGTATGATGAAGAGAAAACAACAAATCGCTGGGAAACAAAAGGAGCAGTAACTAACTGGTAAATCAGTACATGTAGTAGTAGGTTATCTAGTATGTTCGTGGGTAATTTAAAACATTTTCTTTCGTTAATTGTTAGAAGTAACAATGTAGGCCTATGTTTTTAAACGTGATCCCGTCTTCAATAGGATTCCGATTCTGCTATAGTGGCCCCCGGTTATAACGGCCCTGGCATAGTTATAGCCTTACTTTGTTATAGTCGGGGATCACGTTGACATACACTGCAACTAATAATTTACCAGTTTCATCACTTTTATTTTTTTGAGTTATTTCTACTCTCCTTTCCAGTAATTTGTTCCTCCTCATCTTTATCTTCTTTTTTTTTTATTTTTAAAAACTAGATCTATCTTCGGGGGGGGGGGGGGGGGGGGGTTAGTAATCAAAGTGAGACCAAGAATAGAAATGAAGCTACACATGAAAAACTTTTCCCACAATAGCAACAGAATTAACGAAGTTCCTTATTCCACGTGGCATCACTGTGTTATGAAAGAAAACAAATCCGGAATCGATATCATTGCATATATATTTAACCACCGACATAACCGCGAAAATAACATTTATCTCCTGAAATAATCTTATTCCCACTTTGGACAAAACGCAATTGTAACGTCTAAACGCACGGAGGGAAGAAAGGTCTCAAGATTTTTCAACAGTAAATTTTAACTAAAGATGTGAATGGGAGCTCTCCTTGCCAAGAGGTTAAGGTGTTCACCTCTCCTTCAATAGGTCCGGGGTTCGAATCCGAATAGCGACGGTAAATTTTAGAGGGAAAATTTTCTTCTCTAAAATGTTCTCCTTTCACATCCTTTCCTGCTTTCTAACAATACTCTATCCTTTGCTTTCGTCTCCACTTTCTGCCCCCACCCCTTCACCTCCTTTGCCCCCTCCTCTGGGCTTCAGACTCTTTTTGCAACCTTTCTACAAGGCCCTACTACTCCTTGGCTCCTTCTTACTGCTGTCTGTCAGCCACATCCCTGATCTTATTGTAGCAAAGATCTACACATCTTCTCGGACAAGGGCGAAAAATCTTGGAGGTCCCGTATGCAAGTTATGCACGTGAAAGATCCCTTGGAGGTCCAAAATCGATAGGCTTCGGCCGCCACCCGGGCAAAATTCAAAATTTTTTACCCTCTGAAAATGTTCAATGTGTCCCGCGCGCCCATATGACCTTATGCAGTTGCAAGCGCCGTAAAACACTTACCACACACAAAAAAATAAAAAATAAAATAAAAAAAATTAAAAATGTGAATACATAGAAAGGAGGTAAAGAAGCAGAGTTAGTAATACTAAAAATTATGTATTAGCAATTAATTGTTTTAAATTCTGGCTGTCTTTGTCTGGGCTAGCTTTTCGTAGCCAGGAAATCATTTATTACCATGACCGGATCTTCAGATTTAAGACTGAGCAAAAATAGTCGAAGAAAAAAGAAAACGAGCGCTCGCAGCAGCCACAAGATTATTAGGAGTTAGAGCTTGTCTCCTTATGCGCGACGCGACGTTACGTCACGCGGTCGCGACCGACTGTCGCGCGCGATGTTACGTCGCGTCGCGCATAAGTCTAGATAGTCTTAGCCCCCTCTCCCCCCCCCCCCCTTTTTTTTCTCACCTTTTAAAAGGTAGAGTCCCCCAATCCATTAGGAAGGGGCACCCAAAAAAAAAAAAAAAAAAAGTGGAGATGAAAGCATGCAGACGACAGAACATGGTTACAGTTAGAGAGCACAAAAAGAGGAGAAATGAAACAATTTTAGATATGAAAACTTTTCGACGCTGTCAGGTTTCAAACCCGGGACCTATTGAATGAGGGGCGATAACTGTACATCTAGACAACGAGAGCCCCCTTTGTCTGCTATTGTGAAACACTCAACAAACTGACAGAAACTGAGAGACGGAAAAGACCGGAGCAATTGAACAAAGGGGTCACTGTGCAGCATGACAACCCCACTCCGCATACCGCAATCATGACCAAAGAGTGGATTCAAAAGTATGGTTCTGATCTGATTCATTCTTACAATAATATCTTTGGAATCCACAAAAGATACTTGGCAGGCAAAAATTTAGACGAAGACGATGACTTATAACCGGAAATGAACACAATTTGCAAAATCTTGACGATATTTTTTCAGGAGGGGCATCTATTCTCTCGTACACCATCGAAAAAAAAAAAAGCATCGATTTTGAATGTGGTCATACAGAACAGTAAGCATCTTATGTGAAACTTTACTCTATTAAAATAAAACCAATTAGATCTAGATGTATAATGATTCTGTGACTATTTTATATTTGACAATTCCTGCCGAACGGCAATCGTATTTTCACCCTGCTAGGATTAACGCAAACTGCACCACAGTCCGTTGTTCTGTCATATCCGATATGCTGTGTACTGTACTGTCTCGTTTCGATTCATGAACTGCAGTGCGAGCCTTCCGACAGAGGTGGGCGATTCCTGTTTTTTTTCGGTAACCCAAAGATAGTACATAACAAGATGGGCCACTTCTCTCTTTGAGCCAATTAAAAAAGTGTCCTCAAAATTTGGTGGCGCCCTCTTCACAAAAGCGCACTCTTTGCGAACAGAGTTACCCTACTTGAGTTTTAAAAAATCAAAGTGAAATTAGCAAGTTTTGGGATAAATTTCGGAAGAACGCTTTTTTAAAATGGTTACGCTGACAAAAAACCTCTTCCGGAGGAAAGGGTGATGGTTTTCTTTGTTTAATTTGACTTTAGAATGAAAAGCGAGAGGTCATTAAATTTTTAAAAAACCTAAAACTCCGCACTGAACGTACCCGAACTGCTGATGAACAGCAGTCGATCTGCGCACTGCGCACGCAATGAGGTGCTATTCCTATTCTTCTTCTGGAAAAACGAAAGAGAGCTTCAAAACAGACTGCAGCGCCATCTGAAGCAAAGAGCATACTTCCCGCGGACACTTTTTTTGCTGAGTGGCCCATCTTGTTATTTACTATCATTGGGTAACCGTAGATTCCCGAATATTAAAGTTAAAGGCTAGGAATCGTAGGAATCGGCGCCGAACCCAATTACTTTCTTTATAGCCAGTGATCAATGATAGTACATAACAAGATGGGCCACTTCTCTCTTTGAGCCAATTAAAAAAGTGTCCTCCAAATTTGGTGGCGCCCTCTTCACAAAAGCGCACTCTTTGCGAACAGAGTTACCCTACCTGAGTTTTTAAAAATCAAAGTGAAACTAGCAAGTTTGGGGATAAATTTCGGAAGAACGCTGCTTTAAAATGGTTACGCTGACAAAAAACCTCTTCCGGAGGAAAGGGTGATGGTTTTCTTTGTTTAATTTGACTTTAGAATGAAAGGCGAGAGGTCATTAAAATTAAATAAAAC